ACCCCCTCTTGCAATCCAGGACCCCTTGGGGGGTGTCAGAGAGCCAGTTTCAGCCTGATCCCCTCAGGCCAGGCCAAGGGACCCCACTGGTGCACAGCACTGGGCCTCTAATACTGTAAAAAAGAACTGACAAAGAAGAAACTGTCCAGCAAAACACCAATAGAAAGGTAAAATTTTTCCTGATGTCAAAACCTGAGTTTTTCCTGGTTTCTACTTTGGGTTGATAGAGAAGAATCAGTTACTGGGAGCATAATATAAACCTGGTCATTTATAGCTCCAAGAATCTCCAACAGGATGCAGTTTGCCAAACTATTCCCTATCATTCAAGTTCAATCAGAACTTGAATAAACTTAAAATAATTTTTATAAATAAAACTAAGATAGGTTGATGATGTCAAATTAAATAAGGATTAGTTAAAGCATAGTCTCTAGCTTCTTCTAAACAGAAGACAGCTAGCCCATGGCTTACAGCGAGGCAGCTCAATCCTGGTGCTCCTATGAATGAACCAGAGGAAAGCCCTACATGCAGGGCATTGCCAGTAATCAGGATTGAACATGCTGTGGATGCATTATCACAGTGAGAATCAGCCATCATCAAAGAAACTCTACCATTTCCTGAAGCAATCAAGCGATTGCTTAGGTTCCTAGCCCATTACTCTTATTTCAATGAATCTTTCTTTTTTTTTAATGTTCGCTAAGGACCAATAATGATACTTACTCATACTGTAAGCATTGCTGAAATGAATTTTCCAGATCACTGAAGTGTACTCCTTTAAAAGCTAGACTACATTTTAAAATTGCTTGAACCACTTTGGCTGGGAATGTTTAAAATGTGCGTTTGTTTCTTTACTCCTTAACAAAGTACACACTGTACAACTTGAAGCTTTCTTGACCATGCAGACACATCTCACTAAGCACGCCCTTAGGTCGTCTGAGAACTACAGAACACTTCCCAATCTATACACACAGCCCCTGAACCCTGGAAATTAGTACTTCATAGCCCACCTCATTTTTAGAGTTCTAGATCTCCTCTTACTGTTAGGAACATAATTTATTTTTCTTCACTGTCACTGAATCTCACTTTCACCTTTCCCCTCCCACTCTCTAACCTGTTAGGGGTGGGAAACTTGCAGAAAATGTGTCACATAATGCTGGAAAACAAATCCGTTTCACTAAAAAGAGATGTGGACAGGAAGCCAGGAAGGCTGGTCAACAACCTTAATTGCTCTAACCCTCACCCTTTAGTTAAGACATTGTTAGCTGAAGCAGCCTCCACCTTGTTTGTCCCGTGTAAGTTTCTGTTATTTCCTGCCTAAGGGCTACATGTAAATTTCTATTTATGTCACCTAAGATGTTTTCCCCAAAGCCTTAATAAAAGGGGATGGCAGGGCCAGAGCAGGAGTAGTTCTCCCACTAGAGTTGGACTACCATCTGGCCCCCCATATCGCCAAGTTGAATTTATTCAAGTCTCTTTTCATTTGTGTGTGGCCCTTCTCCAGAACCCAAACCCTGAATTGGAACCCTTTCCACTCAGGACGTGAAAGAGATTCCTATAACATAAGGTTTTACTGATATATGTTCACTGGCCTTTGAGTAAGGGCCTAGGACCTCGCCTGTGAGTAAGGTGCAATGGACAAGAATTTCAAGAGCTCAGAGACACTTTTTACTTAATTCTGGGGTTTCTGTGGAAGTGATAAGTAGATGGGAGTTTGACCTCGGGGTACAGATATCACTGACATTTGTATTCAGGTACAAACGCTATTTTCCGAACAGTTTGTATGCATGATTTTAGGAAGCACTATAGCCTATACTCTGCCATCTATCATCATTCCTCATTTAAACTTCAGATTAAAAAAATGAGAAAGAGCTGGCACCGGTTTGGCTCAGTGGATAGAGCATCGGCCTGTGGACTGAAAGGTCCCAGGTTCGATTCCGGTAAAGGGCATGTACCTTGGTTGCAGGCACATCCCCAGTAGGGGGTGTGCAAGAGGCAGTTGATGGGTGATTCTCTCATCGATGTTTCTAACTCTCTATCCCTCTCTCTTCCTCTCTGTGAAAAATCAATAAAATATATATTTTTTAAAATGAGAAAGGAAAAGGCAAAACACTGACTTTTACAAGTTAGAGATCATCCAATAGCATAGTTTTCCGAGACATCTCTGCCCTGCCCTTTTCATCCTCAGCCCTTAACTTAGGACACCCATTGCCAGGAAGCTAAGAGACTTGCCATCATCATAAGCACACTAGTTCATTCTCCCTTCTCAGACACCATTAACTACACCATCTTTTCAATTTCTTAAAGTTGAACCTAGCTGTCATCAAGGCCTCTTTCCTCCATTTCTCCTTTTAAATCAGGCAATTTCAAGATTCTGGTGCATGTGGTTTTTTCCCATGTCTAAGATGCATTTTACCTGCTTCTCACTAAAGCCTGTAAAATTCTAATCCATGGCTCTTACAGACTTCTGCTTTGCAAACAAGCTTCTCACCTCCCTCTACCCAAATCCATCCCAATAGTAGTGCCCACTCTTTCATCACTGGACTCTCAATCTCTACTTCCTGAACACTCTCATTGGGTAACTCTCAAAATATTTCTTGCTCTCATGTGAAAGCTATATTTTCACCTTTAGTTCTTTTTATAGTACTTCTTAACACTCACTTCCTCCTGTTTGATCTTTACATTATCTCCTTCCAGTTTTATATGTTCCATATAGTTTACCCCTGGAATTAAAGCAATATGTTGGAATTCTCTCTTTTCTCAAGTCTACTCCAGAGGCCTTTCCCTGATCACACCTTAATATCTTCAACTACCTAGAGAAATTTTCTTTTCTAAATGCCTTGAAAGTCACTTTCCCCATTTCATGTACTCAACTATTTTCCCTTTTATGTATTTCCCAAAACCTCCAGAGCAATAATTACCAGATTTTCTTTTGTGGTTATTCCACACACACCTCTGCCCTTCCTCCTTCCTCACATTGTAATTGTCAGCAAAACCAGGACTGAACTCCTGAACATTTACATGGTGCTATATAGAGTTCCACAAATGCCTTTCCCCAAACTGCAATTCCTTGGTGTCCTCTTACCATTCTATCATTTCTATCTCTATCACAGTGTTCTGGTTTGGAAAGGAGAATCCCCATTTCATAGTAAATAAACTCCCTTCTGCCTTCAACTCATTCAAAAAGACTTCACTCTGGAAATCTGGGCCAGTCTAAAAGACACTGCTGTACCCGTGGCTCCTGCAGCCATCCCAGAGGAAAGGATCTATTCTTCCACAGGACGGACACCTCAGGGTCAGGACTGGGGGAGGGTCTACTTATTCCTCAGAGCCACTAAAACACCAACCCAGCTTTTTATGTTGCCAGCATCAGGTAAAAGCTTCTACTCTTCCTTCAAAACCTATGACCTGTGACTACACTTCCTTTCCCCTGTTCCCCATCTCTTAGTCCTGTCACAATCTCACTTAATACGCCTGCTTTCCACATGCTTGACCTCTTCATGGCCTCTATTCTCTTCTCCTCATTTCAGCTACCCACTTGTTGGACCCATTCATCCCCTAGGATTACGCCCCTTGCAACTTCCTATCCATTCTGTTCCCTAAGGCAGTGGTAGGCAAACTGCAGCTCCGAGGCACAGTTTGCCGCTCTGTTGACTAATGAGTTTGTCAACCTTAAGGCCCTAGACCTCAGAGAACATGACAATCTATCAATCCTCCCATTTCTCCCAGTTGATTGGCCCATCCTGGCTTCTCTTCCTTCTCTGCCCATCTTGGATTCTGGGGCTGATTTCTAGATTGCTCTTTTACCACTAACCTCAGCAAACCTTTGGCTGGACTTCCTGACACCAACCCACTACCTGGGCAGCCTCCCATTTCCTCTGACCCCACTCTCTGGCTATCATGCCAGATCCTTGCTTAGGTCTCATGAAGTCTTAATGGAATCACCTCCTAAGTGCCAGCTCCATTCATCCACTCCTGGTTTGGTCTGCTCCTTTTCCTTCCAAGCTTCCATTCTGAACAGGTGACATGCAAACCTTTCATTTCTATAATAACTTAGTACTGAAAAATGCTTCTGAATATTTGTCATTTTATTAATAAGAAAATCTCTTATGAGGTCGAAGCTCAAGAATATTATAGCCAAAAGAAAAATTAAGGTTTATGATGTTATGTGACTTAAGCTCTCACAGTCTCCAAAGAGTAGAACTGATTGGCCACCATGATAATGAGAATATATTTTCTTTCAGTCCATCTGAGACACCTATGCTTGTGCCAAATTATTCAACATGCTACTTGTGGGGATGACACATTAATCAAAGACAGATAAAGGGATACCACTGTGAAGGCAGAGGTGACCTCAGGGTCAGTTTTCTACATGCAGTCATCCTAGAAGCAAACATTCAGTTGACAACAACTGAGTCAGAGAGAGGATTGACTCCAATCCAAGAGACGCAGAGAAATCCCATGCAGACCAAACTACTCTGTGTCCTCTGTGTGGACTCCCACCATCGAAACCCAACAAGTGAAGAAGAGCCATGGCACTGGAAGAGCAACTGAGCCCAGCAATGGGGAATCGGGTAGAGAAGAGAGCAATGTGGAACTTACTATGGGGGACTCCTTTGAGACATAATCAGTATGCATTGGGAGAGAAGACTGATATGTGATATGCTCGCTTCTGAACAAAATAAAACAGACTGTTCCCCTCCCCATCCTGTGCCATCTAGACATCTACAATGTAATAAAGACCCCAAATGCAATCAGGTACGAATCCCAGGGGCTATACAGATAACAATAGCATTGAACAAAGATCCAAATTAAATTTTAAAAAAATTTTTTATGAAATATGTGTAAGAAAAACCCAAAGGATATTCCTCTACAAATCTTTCAGCTTCTTGCATAAAAGCTGTTATGTTACATCTGTATTTGTACACATCCCTATTAAAAAAATATTATATGACCTAGGATTGCCCCCAACAAAAATGCAAATATTTAACAAAATAATCATTTACCTTGGTGAAGATCAAAAGGAGGTCCTCTAATTTTCCATGTAAATCACCTGGAGGGCAAATGAAAAATCACTCTTCAGTAGGAAACAAGAAAATGCCCATTTTGTTACAGAATTTTACAAACTGAAATATTGCTAATACAGTCGAACCATTCTCGGGGCATTGGGTTTTACCCTATGATGATGTTAATTCCAGGGTGCTATGGAAACTTTGTCCCCTTTCTATAGAGGACAGCATCCAATATTGCAATCATCTATTCACTCCTGCCATTTACACAGTGCTTACCTTACTCTATGCCAAGTACTGCACTACAGGTTTACATTAATTATCTTGTTCAATCCTTATAACCACTCTATCAGATGGATATTATTTTCATTATTCTCATTTTTACAGATGAGGCTCAGAGTTACCCAACTACCAAGTATCAGAGCTGGAATTAAAACCCAATTTTATCTCATTTCAAAACTAAAGCCCTCATTAATTATTCTGTAATATAATCTCTAAAGGAGCAATTATATCTATCTTGGCAATGAACACCTATATGTTTCCTCTATACCCAGTGTATAGCAGGAACTCAATAAATACATTTAATTGCTAAATATAATACGTAGCTTCTTAAAGCCATGTTTTAAAGAATATGTTCAGGTAGTTGCATTAGAAACTTAAAAAATATGAGTAGATGGCTCACATTCTTTTGATGAGACAGTTATAAAAAATTAAAAGGAAAGCATTCCTCTATAAAACTCAGCCAAATAAGGGAAACTACATGAATATATGAAGCCATTAATTTAAAAACAAGAGTGAAATATGAATATTTAAAAGGCCTACTTGAATAATTATTTCTAGGTAAATATTTATCTTTCATAAGCTCTGATCATAAATATTTACTCCATGTATTCAACTTAATTACCAAATAGAATTTAATTTGGAAAAAAATTTCCTCAATTTGTTTAAAAACCCATAGCCAAATTCAAACAAATATATACAACAAAATACTCCAATTATAATGGGAATGATAAAATTAAAGTACTTATCACAGCACTTATTCATAAACTGACTGTAATATTAACATTAAGAGCATATTAATACTATTGTATACTTAAATCTCATGCTTTCATGTGGTCTCACTCTAAATCTAAAAAATAAAAATGGAAGGACTTTTTACATATCAGTTAAATATATTTTTTACTAATTTTATTTTCCTAATTGGCTTCAGGGTGACTCATCTTTCAAAGATTTGGGTAGACAGAACTGTTGAAGCTCTCATGCTAAAAATGAATTGGTTTTAGTGTATTAAGAGACTATAAAAACATTTATAACTTCTACGTGGACAGCAAACAAAAGCCATATCATGGAAAGATAGCTACAGAAAGGTATTTCCACTGCAAACAAAACATGAGTGTAGAACTGGTTATGATTTATAACATAATTGTAGACTAAAACACCTCCCTATATTTCTTGTGTGTGAGTCATCCTTGCAGAGGGACCATGCTTATCTTCTCTGTACCATTCCAATGTTAGTGTATGTACTGCAGATGTGAGCATAAAACACTCCTATATTTCATGCATGTTGAGGACCATTGTAGCCTGTTTAGATGTGCATATAAAATATGCATCTGGAAATTAAGATAATGGTAAAATTTCATCACAATTTCTTTCCCTCTCCTAATACTATCTTAAACAGAAGATGTTTTTGAAAATATGAACCTAATTTTAAACTTTAAAAAAAAATAATGACCAATTTTTCTAAGTTCAATGGGACTATTAAAAATATAAAATAATTCCCATGTTATGGGAACCTACTGACCTTGGCTTTTCCTTTTACCAATGGTGCTATGTGGGAAAAGCCTAGAAATAAATGCCCAAGATGCAGGGATCATTAAATGAATGGAACTGTCCCATCAATCTATATTCCCTAACCTTTGTCTCACAATGGAAAATGAAACAGCAATCAGAGCAGTACATGATGTGGAGTTAGGATAGCAGATATGGCTCTAACTAGAGGGCCTGCTTTTAATCATGACCCTGTCACTAACCAGCTGAGTAAGCTTGGCATGACAGACAGATGGTCTCTGTAAGAACCTCTCATTTCTTACACTGTGTGATTCCAGGATTCCATGCCCTCTAATTAATTCATGTCTTCTTCCAGATCCTTTTATCCAAAGATAAGTCACCATGGCACTTGGAGGTATACTGAAAACATGGGGGGGACAGGCCCCACTCTCTGTTTGGACTATTACATATATTCTGAGAGCAAATCTAGCCCTGGCATCATAGATAGGCATGGCCTTCTAAGTCTCATGACTCCAAATCCTTTGTTTCCATGAAAAGCAAGAGTGGTGAAGCCTTGAATAAAAGGCCCCCACTGCTGAGATGCCTCATCTGCTCGGCAGAGATGTGGTGGCCTGATTTGGTTGGAATTAAACCATTGAAGACTCTTCAAAAACCTGAGTCAAGGCATGCCATGAAGTATGTGCTGCTACATCAAGTCCCTGTCACCGCTATCAGATGCTAGAAATGGAAATGGTTTAATTAGATTGTCAAATCCACGTCTACCTGCCAGAGTAGAAGAAACACGGGCTAAAAATTGATTTGGAAAATAACAATCACTGTTTTGTAACCTAAAGGCTTAATTAGAAGTTAAGGGAGTTGCTGTTCCTTCCACGCACTCCACTCTCAGACGGTTGCAAGCATGCTGAGAGCACCAACTGTGTTGAATTTCAATGTGTACTGTTTCTTGAAGCAATATCCTGCCAAGCTGGCCTATAGGATAACACAATCTCAATCTTGTTATTTAGAAGAACAAGGAACAGATTTCTGGGACATTCCCAGTCTTCCAAACGCTGCAGAGACCAGTTGGAAAAGAATCTAAAACAGCAGCCAAAAGCAGAGAAGACTTTAATCTCCACCCTGCCTTTGGCTTTTCTCTTCCCAGCATAAGTGGCATGCAGAGGCCCACCTGGGAAAAGCAACATGGAACAAAGATAATGAGAGCTAGACAGAGGGCAAAGAACGCTTATTCCACCCATGGGTGGTTTCTGTATTAAAACGCTGCCTTTATAAAAAGCTGTGGGTTCTTTAATTTCTCACATAATTAATTCCTGCCAGCTGGTATGCAAAACAAAGACAAGATGGGGAACAGTATTATCATGATAGATAACTCTATATTAACACATTTCCCTTAACACAGTCCAATTTATGCAGTTTTCAAGTTAGGCAAATGACGTGGAACCAAGAGGCTCCAAAATATTAATTTGGCAACACTGCTCTAAGACTTACCACAGATGGTTATCTCTTTGGTGGGACAAGTTCTTATATGATTAAAATTGGGCATTTGCTTCATGGCTTCCCTAGTTTCGAACAGTATCTCTAAAACGTAATAGGCATGGAGTATCTGTGAGGGCAAAAGAGCAGAAAAAGATATGACGAACTAGGAAGAAAGGCATGACTGAATAGAAAGCTATAAAGGTGGAGCATATGAACACACTGCAGATAGCCGTATTTCAGGACCATCTCTAAATCAGTCTCAAATAGATGATTCCAGCACAGCATCTGGCATATAATAATCCCTCACTAGAGATCTGTAAATTGAATGAATGAATGAATGGTGCCTAGGACATTTATACTCCCACGTTCTTAATTGACATCACCCAATTACAGAACATTTCTGATTATTCCTGGTCAGTAAATTCCAAGTGAAGTGATAGGGAAAATTGGAGACTCCTTTGCCCTAAAAAAGTGTGCAAATAAATAAATAAAAAAGAGGGTAAGGAGAGAGAGAATGAGAAGTAGAGACTGATGAGGAGGGGCTGCTTTGCATTTGTCTGGAATGTCCTGGCACCTAGGATGGCAACTAAGCGCTGGGTTCTGAGAGATATCAAAAGGAAGCCAGGCGTCCCATGTGTGGCTCAATTGTTGGTACACAGACTGTGTGAGTCTACAGAACAGCAAGCATATTTATATTGTACAAGTCTAAGTATAAAACATATACAAACCCCAAATAAACCATTTGGATTATCTCCTATTATGACCATTCCATTGCTCTCCTCCAATTCAGTTCTTGATGACATCATTGTTTTGGACAGATTTACTCTGTTTTCTCCTCTGGGGTTTTTGTTTGTTTTAAATCCAGAGTGTTGTTCTCCCTTTTTTTAATTATAAAATATTCCAAATACACAAGCCAAAAAGTAAAACAGCCAATAAAAATTTAACAGATGTTAACACCACTTTATGGGTCAGGACTATTGGCAGTCCTAATATAGTAGTCACTAGTCAGTCCCATGGGGCTACTGACCACTTGAAATGGGGCTAGTGGAAATTGAGATATGCTATAGGCACAAAATACATACCAGATTTCAAAGACTTGGTATGAAAACAATTGCATGTTTAATTAAAAACTTTTAACATATTAAAATAATTATATATGTTGGATTAAATAAAAGATATTATTAAAATTAATTTCTCCTGTTTCTTTTTACCTTTTTAATGGGACTACTAGAAAATTTTAAAATATTTGTGACTCACATTAAACTTCTATTAGACATCACTTGTTTAGATTACTGAAGGCTGAGAGAGGGGTCATATCTACATATTGTTCAGTTACTGCTTTGGGTATGGAATTCAGGACATATGGAACCCTTTGGAACAATCATGACTCATGGTATCCTGAAATTTCCATTTCCCTGGCTACTAAAATAGTAAAATTGTTTTCTATCCCAGACCCCAAAAACCTATGATTTAAATTTAGAGAATTTTCTTATTTTCAAAATATATTTTATTGATTTTTTTTTTTACAGAGAGGAAGAGAGAGGGATAGAGAACTAGAAACACTGATGAGAGAGAAACATTGATCAGCTGCCTCCTGCACACCCCCCACTGGGGATGTGCCCGCAACCAAGGTACATGCCCTTAACTGGAATTGAACCTGGGACCTTTCAGTCCGCAGGCTAGGGGGTGAATAGGTGGCAGCTGGTCGATATTTCCCTCTCATCAATGTTTCTAGCTCTCTATCCCCCTCCCTTCCTATCTGTAAAAAAATCAATGAAATATATATTTTTTAAAAATTTTTAGAAAGGAAATGCCATAAATAAGCAATGGACAGAGAGGAGATTTCTGTGTATCTGAGGATACCTCATTAATGGGTTAAGCAAAGCACAGGGTAGCCTTCACTTGATGTGAAGGCTTTCCCCAAGGGAATGCGTTTCTGCTGAAGTGTTTTCATTCACTGATTCAACCAATAGTCATTGAACACTTTATGCACAGAATCAAGGCAGTACCTGCTTCCACTTACCTGCTGCTGCTTAAAGGCCTCAATCATTACATTAAGAGAATTACTATTGAGTGGAAATTGCAGCCGAGGGCCAATATAGGAGTCTGGAATCTCTATTATCCCTACACATTCCTGTCTACCCCTGTCGTCCTGGTGGGCGCAACCAAACAGCCGATTTACTAAAGCTGGGGGGGAAAAACAGAAAGGGTGGCAAAAATCAACATTCCCATACTTAAATGCAATCAATATTTTCTTGAAAGTCTACCCCATGTAAGGCACTGTGCTAAATGTTATGAATACCGTGATATCCCACTTATAACCATGAGGAATGATTTGTTCTGAAACCAGTAGGTAGATGCATATGAATCACTATCATCACTTCCTGGGTGGATATTTTACCAAATCAGTGAGTTCATCAGTGGGGAATGGAGGGATGAGCACAGGGAAAACTGATCAATCATGGTATTTTGACACTCTGAAGCTCTAACTCTACTTTTTTTTTCTTTTCTTTTTTTTCTTTTTGCCCACTCTTACATCTCAGATTTTTACAACTAGTGATGAAAACATAACAATGCATTCTATTTGGCTCAAACATCTGCTACTATTCATGATCTACAGAAAATCAAACTGCAACATTTAATTTTCCCCGTTAAACACTTCAAATTTTACTTCACTGTAATTGATTTGTCTCCTCTTCACATAAAAACAAAATTTCTGACGTGATTTTCTTTTTCTTCTTGGTAACAAAGCAGATAAAGTAAGTTGACAAACCATTGGCAGAAATTGCAAAGGCCCTCTCTCTCAGAGACACATTTCCATGTCACATTGTCTGCACCGTTTATTTCGGTAGGTGCTAAGATCCAGTGTCCCTTTCTGGCTAGATTGCCCATAAAATGATCAGCTCAAGTACAGAAATCCGGCCAAATCAGGTAGGGAAAGGTGAGAGGGGATATTGTAGATTGATTTTATCAGTGATCCCAATTCTCTATCCCAAACCCTGGCATGCCCTTTTTAATGTGATTTTGAAGATTCTATTTCCCCAGCCCTTGAAGCTGGTTCGTGACTCGTGTTGGCCTAAAGAAAGTGGTAGAAGTGTTACATACTAGTTCCAAGCCAAGGCCTCACAAGGACTTGTTTGTTTCCATGCTCTCACTTTTGAAACCATACCACTACTATGAAGCCCTGGCTAGCCTACTGAAAGCTCCAACACCATGGGGAGCAGAGCTGAGTCACCCTAGCCAAGGCCGTCCTAGATCGGCCACCATCCAGCAGACCTCCAGACACGAGCGAACTCCACCCAAAACCCAAAAAACTGCCCAATCAAGACTGCTATGAACAGCAGACGTGCTCAGCTAATCTGCAGACTGATGAGCAAAAAGAAATGTTTATGATATGCCACTGAACTATTGTGGTTGTTTAATACACAGTATTATTATGGTAAACAGATAAGTGATACAGAGGATGATGACATACTTTTCAATTCATTAACAATCAACTGCTACTAAGGTCATTAATCAGAAGTTGTCTGTAAGCAGTTTCTCTCATTTTGAATATTTAGAGTAGACATGTTTGCCAGGTGGGTACTGGAAATATTGGGAGGAACACTTTGTAAAGTATATAGGGGTGGGCAAAGTTGGTTTATTGTTATTCATATGGAAAAATATATAATTCAAGAATAAAAATAGTTTTATGTCCTGATAACTATGAACCTACTTTTCCCACCCCTGTATGACTAACCAGTATGCTAGACTTCTGAAATGAATACAAAATTATATTGAACATAAATTGTAATTGAAAAATAAAAAATATCCTATATAATAAAGAAGTAATATGCAAATTTTCCATCACACTGTGACAAGATGGCAGCACCCACAGTGGGGGCAGGCCCGGCCGCCTTACACACCTGCCATCCAAGTCCCTTCAGCCCCACTGGGGCCCTCGGGTCCTCCTGAACCCCGCACTGACTGACAGTTCACCCAGGCTCCTCCAACAAGCTGCCCATCCCTCTCTTCCCTCCTCCCCTGAAGCTGAGGCCTGACTGTGGTGTCCAACAAATTGGAAGCTATAACTCATGTCACTGAGAGTATCCTCCATCCTTAGCCTGGCCCGGCCACTCCACACACCTGCCACCGGAATCCCCTCAGCCCCATCAGAGGCCTCGGATCCTCTTATACTGCCCACTGACTGAGGCTCAGGCAAACAGGTCAGGCCGAGGCTCAGGCAAACAGGGCCACCGAGGGCCAGCTTGAGCACAGGCAAGCCTCAGATGGCAGCTGCCCAGCCGCCCAGGACCAGCCGAGGCTTGCGCTGTCAGCAGTGGCAGCAGCAGATGTGTGATGGAGGTGTCGCCTCCCAGACTGTGAAAGGGGGCAGGCTGGGCTGAAGGATCCCACACACACACTCTAGTGCAAGAATTTTCATGCACTGGGCCTCTAGTATGTATGTGTGATAGGACATTTTGGTTAATGTTGGAAGCAAAAACCAAAGTTAAAACATTACTTACACACACTCTGCTCCACTCCCACTGCCACCCGTTTCTGATTAAACCTAGTGCTGTGTATGGCAGCTTTGGCTATCTACCTGTGGGAGGAGGCTGATATGGAAAAGCAGACTGGAGCTGATGTGTAGAGTCTCTCCATCAAATCCTACAAATTGCTTTTGATTAACTAAAATAGGACACAGAAAATATCTGCTTCCAGGTCACCTTGTACCTTTGGAACACCCAGAGTTGTTGACCTACTCTGTGCCTCAGAATAAAACCATTAATCTGCAAATGTGGTGTAGTTGTACCTCTAAATATACCTTACTTAGAGGTCAGAGCACTTTTGCCAAATAGGTCTAGGTAGAGCTTGTCTGGGACTCTCCTACCAAAGAGGGCCATTGGAAAGCAATGTACAGCATAGTGACTCTAGTTAACAATACTCTAGTGCAGTGGTCGGCAAACGGCGACTCACGAGCCACATATGGCTCTTTGGTCCCGTGATTATTCTAACACCACTTCTTCAAAATAAACTTGCCCAGGCTGAAAACCAACTTCTGCGCATGGGAAATGAAGTTTCAATCACACTGTACGCGTGAGCCTGCACATGGTATTTTGTGGAAGAGCCACACTCACGGGGCTAAAGAGCCAGATGTGGCTCGCAAGCTGCAATTTGCCAACCACAGCTCTAATGTATATTTCCAAGTTTCTAAGAGAGTACATGTTATTTATTTATTTATTTGTTTGATGGTTATTTATTTATATATTTTTATTGATTTCAGAGAGAAAGGGAGAGGGAGAGAGAGAGAGAAACGTCAATGATAAGAGAAAATCATTGATTGGCTGCTTGTCTTCTACTGGGGATTGAGCCCGTAACTCAGGCATGTGCCCTTGGCCAGAATCAAACCAGGGACACTTCAGTCCACAGGCTGACCCAAACCAGCTAGAGCAACAGCCTAAATTTTAAAAGTTCTCACCACACACACAAAAAAATTGTAACTATGTGAGTTGGTGTGGATAAGTTAACTAACTTTGTGGTGGTAATCATTTCACAATAAATACATAAATAAAATTATTAGATTGTACACTGTAAACTTATACAATATTATATGTCATTTATATTTTAATAAAGCTGGGAAAATATTTAAATGAAATTAACCTACAGTAGCGATCTATAAATTTCTTTTTCTGCTATATACAATAATTAAATCAATATGATTCTAGCACGCTACAACTGAGAGATGTATGAGAATAGATAGCTCAGAAATATGCCCTATTACACATTCTTTTTTTAAAATCTGAACAATAAAGATTTATTAAATTTAAAAAAGAAATAAAAAGCTTATATTTACAAGTAAAATAATTGATATTTTTAGTGCAATGGCATTTTAATTCTTGATGAATGAGAATGGTAGTGGTTTCCATTTTGTATATAGTGTGGCATATTCAGTAGCATTTAAAATTAAATGTAGAAAATGCTCAATGTCACTAATCAAGGGGGAAATGCAAATCAGAACCACACAATATCACCTCCCACTGCCAGAATGGCTGTTATAAAAAAGACAAGAAGGGGTAAGTGTTGTGAGGAAGCAGAGAAATGGGAACCCTTGTGCACTGTTGATAGAATTGTAATCTGGTGCAGCCAGATGGAAAACAGTATGGAAGTTCCTCAAAATAAAAATTAGACCTAACATATGACCCAGCAATTTCACTCCTGGTTATTGTAGAAATCCAAAACACTAATCAAAAGGATACATGTACCTCTGTGTTTATTGCAACATCAGTTACAATAGCACAGATGTATTATACATTCTTTAAATAAATATATTATGAGGGAAGTACTACAAATCATGGTGAAAAGATAAATTATGAATGTATAAGAAAAATGGTTAACTAATTTGAAATTTTCTTTGTAGTTGTATTTTTTAATTGTTCTCAATCACTAGGCATCAAAATGTCCTTTTTTAGCTTAATATTAAAACATTCAAAATTTATAAAGTGTTAACTTTTTAAAAAGTTAAGCCATTAAAAAATATAAAAATACAGGCATAGCAATCACATTTTAAATATTTCAGGGCCTTCTAAGTTTAGAAGCAGAGGGATTCCCAAAGAAAAATATATTTAGATTTAAAAAGAAATATTTTAAATAATTAATGCATGAACATTTTCTAAATCTGACAAAAAATATTAACTTGGATATCAAGAAGCTCAGTAAAATCCATGCAGGATAAGTAAAATTAAACCTTATCAAGGCACATTATGGTTTAAATGCTATTTTCCAATGTTAATTAGGTTAGGCTTTTTTCTTCCCTCCCTCCTTCAGGTGAGGTATGATATGTTATCATTTGTAACACAGTCATGTTCATTTGTCACAGTGTGTATTCCATTTTGGAAACACATACACACATATAGTACACTTTGTTTTTAATTATATTTTTTGGAATGTGAAACATTATCATGGTTTTAAGAGTCAGAACTACAAAAATGAATTCTCAGAGACATGACACTCTCCCCTCAGCCCTCTACCTAATCCACATTCTACCATTCCTTCTTTCCTACTCCCACCCATCTCCTCAATTACCTGTAGGTAAAAAAATGTCATTAGTTTCCTGTTTATCCTGTAGGTTTATTCTGTATTTATTTTTTCACAATGAGTGTGTGTGTGTGTGTGTGTGTGTGTGTGTGTGCGCGCGCGCGCAATCAGGGTGCCCCCCAAAATGTGTACTATTCAAAGTGTGTGTATACATCTTGGGGGAATATCCCTGCATATACACTGAGTGGCCAGATTATTATGATCTCTGAACGCATAATAATCTGGCCACTCACTGTATATCCTATATAATAAAAGGCTAATGTGAAAACTGTCCCCTCAACCAGGAGTTCAACCAGCAGGCAGGCTGGCCAACCGCCCATGTCCTCTTCCCCTGGCCAGCCTGGCTGGACTCACCCATGCACGAATTCATGCACCAGGTCTCTAATACACACACACACACACACACACACACACACACACACACACACTGGCCAGATTATTATGTGCTCAGAGATCATAATAATCTGGCCACTCAGTATATATACATATATAAAGATTTCTTAAACACGATAGAAAAACTTCTAATCATAAAGAAAAAAAATTGTACTGCAATGGAATAAAAAATGTCTGTTCATCAAAAAACACTTTTTAAAGATTGGGATGGGGGAATAAAAGACAAAGACTAGAAGAAGATATTTGCAACACATTCACCTAACAAAGATCAATATTCTTATAATTAGAATGCTTAGAAAATTCACATCAATTGCTAATAAAAAGAAAGGCAAAAAAACTGGATCAGGCACTTCATTGAGCAGGATATGCATGTGACATAAACATACAAAAATTGTGAGCAGCCCTAACCGGTTTTGCTCAGTGGATAGAGCATCGGCCTGCAGACTGAAAGGTCCCAGGTTCAAGTCCAGTCAAGGGCATGTACCTTGGTTGCAGGCACATCCCCAGTAGGGAATGTGCAGGAGGCAGCTGATCGTTGTTTCTCTCTCATCGATGTTTCTAACTCTCTATCCCTCTGCCTTCCTCTCTGTGAAAAATCAACAAAATATCTTTTTCTAAAAAGGTGAGCAATTTCACTGCTCGCCAGGGAAATGCACGTTAAAGTGGAAATGTGATACCACTACATACCCACCAAATGGTTAAAATGAAAAGGAGACACAATTACAAGTGTTGGCGAGGATATGGAACAACTGGGACTCTCACACACTGGTGGCAGTACCACTTGGTACAACTTTGTAAAACTGTCAGTATCTAATAAAGCTGAACATATGCATGCCCTATAATCCAACTCTTTTACTCCTGGGTTGTGGTATATCTTTATAGTAATGATCCCCATTGAAACATGCTTCCTTGTACCCATATCCCTTTGCAATATAATGCTGCTCCTGCTCCCTGCAAGAGATGGAGCTTTCCTAATGCCTTGGAATCTGCAGCTGGCCTTGGATGTGCTTTGACAAAGAGAAGATGGCAGAACTGATTTTGTGTGTGTTCCAGAGCTTAGACCTTAAATGGCCTTGCAGTCTATGCCTTTGATCCCTTGGAATCCAGCTGCCATGTAAAAGAATGCAGAATATCCTGTTGGACAGAAAGGCTGCATGAAGAGAATTAAGTTGTCAAAGTTCATAGCTAACACCAAAACGTCCCAGGCATGTAAGTAAAACCATTTGGACCTCCCTGCCCCACCAAGATGGGTTGAGTGAGCTCAACGGATACCATCTGAAACAAAGATAAGTCATCCCCACTGAGCCCTGTTCAAATGCCTGATGCACAGAATCATAAGCAAAAAATGGCTGTTGTTTTAAGGCCACTAAATGTTGGGATGGTTTGTTAGATAGCAATATATAACTGAAAATGAGTACTTAGCAAAAGAATACATATGCTTACCAAAATGGACATGTACAAGAATATGCATAGCAGTAAGTACCATTTAAATGACCAAAACTGAAAACAACTCAAAAGTCTATAAAGAGAAGAATGAATAAATTTTTGGCACATTAATAAATATGGAATATTGTTCAGCAATAAGAATGACCAAACTGTATCAACATAGATGAATCTCACAGATACTGTAAGTTGTATAAAAGAAGCCAGACTCAAAACTCTATGCTTCCATTTATTTGGAGAAGTTAAAAAAAAACAAACAAAATTAATCTGGGGTGAAGAAGTAAGAAAAATAGTGAAGAGGGATTGGATAAGGATTGGAGAGGGACGGGGGGGGATTCTGTAGTTCTAATAATGTTTTATTTCTTGTTCTGGGTTTGTTTACTTTTAGAAAATCTATTGTCATGTACTTATGATTTTTGTACTTTTTGTAATGTAAAATTTACAAAAGAAAATTAAGCCACTCTCCCCTTCTTTGGTAAAACTGTAAGTATATTTTTAAATCACCAACAGAATTTTTTAAATGTAGATTTTTTTTTTTAATCAGAGACTGAGTAAATAAATATATGTAAGGCTGGAACCCAGCTATCTGTGGCTGTGAATCTCCATAAGCAATTCTGATGCATAGGCTAAACAGAGATATTAGATCATTAGCAGAAAGAATGCTACTTCATTTCATCATCATTATATGATATTTCCTCTCAAAAATATTTTTTACAAAGAAAATGAAATAACTCTCATTCTTTTTGATAATTGCAATTATCTAAAATGCCAAAATACTTACTTCCACCCACTCCTCATGTTTGGCTATTCCACCATTCAAAAAGCTTCCATAGATCATTAAACACTTTAATTAGTTTCATACATATGTGCTTAGCTCAAAGCATGCCATTAAACCACCACGCTCTTGCCACTTCAACAGGTGTTCACTAGATTATTTAAAATATGCTCTTAGATGTCATAAACAGTTTAAATTAGGAAAAAATGCTTCCCCCAAATTGAAGAAAAAGTTTTAAAGTCTAGCATCTACCTTGCAAATAGCAGGCAGATGTTAATTTGAAGGAGAAATACATGCCTTGTGAAAAACTATTATTTTAAAATCATTTTTAACCAGACCTATGTTGTCTGTCTCTCGACATCTATGCAGAAGTCACAGACATAATGGAGCCAATTGTATTTAATCCACCATTTCCCCAAGATCTATTTCATGAAATACTCAAGATATTTTTATCTTTCAGCACAAAAGTTTCATGGAAAGCCTGGCTGGTATAGCTCAGTGATTAAGCATCGACCTATGAACCAAGAGGTCAGTCAAATTCCTGGTCAGGGCACATGCACAGGTTTGGGGCTTAATCTCCAGTGTTGGGCAAATTGATCAATGATTCCCTCTCATCTCTGATGTTTCTATCTCTTTCTCCCTTCCTCTCTGAAATCAATACAAATATTTTTTGAAGTTTAATGAATAAAAAATAAGATCCTCCTTACTAGACTACTACTGTACATTAATAAATCGTGGTTCAGAGAAGATTTAAACAAAGTAACATTGAATGAAACCTAATTCAGTTTTTTGAAAGTGAGAGGATTAAATTGTCAATTTAGTAGATACCCATCAGAGATGGAAAAAGCCAGCTGAACTGATTTCACTGTTGTTTGGTGTCACCTAGACAAGATAGGTGGGCAACTTTTTTTTTTTTTTAGAATGATAAACATCCCCGAATTTAATAAGAAGGAAAAAGAAAATTTTTCTTATTTTAAAACAAATGACAAGAAAGCATTTATAGTACAAAAGCTCAAAATAAAAATACCCTAAAACAGATGCTAAAATTCATAGGAACTTAATACATAATAATGGTATTACCCCACATCAACAGAGAGAAAAATGGCCACAAATAAAAAGGGTTATCGCCCTAGCCAGTTTGGCTCAGTGGATAGAGCGCCAGCCAGTGGGCATCTTTTCAATTATTTAGTGTTCTCCTGTCTTCAGAGTTTACATTCCTTGGTGAGGACAATTCAATATTTAATGAGTGCTTTTCAAAAGACTGAAGTTTTACTTACTTGGATCTTTCTCTTGTATATGTACGTAGTTTTCCAACATGAAGGAAAAGAAATTGGATAACTGGATAAAATAAAAACACATTAATCAATTAATGAATCCCAAATAGCTACTGTAATAAATGCTATTGGTATTTCATGTAAGTCCCCTTTAATCTTCTAGGGCTCTCATATCCCAGCTGCACAAGGTCCCACCTCTACTTGCCCCCCTCCTCCAAGAACTACCCTTGGCAGATGAGAGGTACCTTCCCCAGAGTTGCATAGGATTTCATATATCCGTCCTCCTGGGAGGCTGCCCATAGACATGACTAACTGAAGCAAGGGTATTACAGCCCAGACCCCCAGTTCCCTTGCCACTGGGTGGAATAAACCATGACACACTTTAAAGCTCCCAATGGGATCAGACTGAGGTCAGCTTCTCCAGAAACCATAGTTTTCCCTAGTTTCTTCCCTTGTCCAATCTTGCTTTCCTCACTTCCGTATATGTTTTTCCTGAGCACACTTTTAGGAAATCACCTGTACCAGAATCTCTGATTCAGATTCTGATTTTAGGAAACCAACCTAATTTAGCTACTAAATTTTGTTCATTATAGTTTCTTATTTTTCTTTTGGTAGTGAGATGAAGAGTTAAGGGATACTTTTAAATGTCAAATATATTTGGGAAATAATGAAGGAGGGAGGGAGGAAAAGATGGAAATCCACCAGCATTCCAACCATCACATAGATGCTGCCTCTATGCCTACCAATTATCTGTAAAAACCTGCATTTATACAGCACAAATAACTCCTCCAAGCCCTGTCTCCCATAAAGAGTGACCACTAAAGAACCTTATCAACCTGGGAATAGGTCTGGGAGTTCAAGGAATGCTTTCCATACAAATGTCAAAATGTGTAAGTTTAACACTGTTGATGGGTTTGTCAAGAGTTAATAGAAAACACAATGAAATGCCACTGCACTCACACTAGGATGTCTATAATAAAGAAGATAGATAATAACAAGTGTCAAAGATGTGGTGAAATTGGACTTCTCATATACTGCTGGAGGGATGTAAATGGTGCAGCTATTTGGGAAAACAATTTAGCAATTACTCAAAAAGTTAAACACAGAGTTACCAGATGACCCAACAATTCCACTTCTAAGAATATACCCAAGAGAATATGTTCCCATAAAATCTTTCACACAAATATTCATAGCCACATCCTATATAATAAAAAGGCAATATGCAAATTGACCATCATGCCCTCGTACAAAATGGCCTACTCCATGTGGTCACAAGATGGCTGCCCCCATGTGGTCACAAGATGGCTGCCACAAGATGGCCAGCAGGGGAGAGCAGTTGTGGGTGATCAGGTCAGCAGGGGAGGGCAATTAGGGATGACTGAGCCTGCAGAGAAGGGAGGGCAGTTAGGGGCAACAGGGCCAGCAGGGGAGGACAGTTGGGGACAGCTGGGCCTGAACAGGAGGAAGGGCAGTTGGGGGCAACCGGGCCGGCAGGGGCAATTGGGCCAGCAGGGGAGCATTTAGGTGTCAATCAGGCTGGCAGAGGAGTGGTTAGGGCACATGTGTCAAACACAAGGCCCGTGGGCCAAATCCGTCCCGCCAGGCCTTGCAATGTGGCCCGCACCGCGCTGTCATCACTGCACTCCGCTGCGTTTCCATCACAATGACAGTTTATGACTGTTCAGTAAATCATTCGGCCCGCGATTTAGGCTGGATTTTAGATTTTGGCCTCTTCTCTGATTGAGTTCGACACCCCTAGGTTAGGGGGTGATCAGGCAGGCAGGCAGGCAAATGGTTGGGAGTCAGCAGTCCCTGATTGTGAGAAGGATGTCCAACTACTGCCTCCCAGATTGGAGAGGGTGCAGGCTGGGCTGAGGGACACACACCCCCCTCCAGTGCACAAATTTTGTGCACTGGGCCTCTATTTATTTATAATAACCAAAAAGTGGAAACAAGTTAAATGACCTATCTACTGAGAAATGAATAAACAAAATGTGTGAAATCCATACAGTGGAATATTATCCATAAAAAGGAATGAAGTACTGATATACAATACAACATGAATAAATTGGAGATATTATACTAAGTGAAAGAAGTCAGACTTTTACAAAAGGATCACATTTTCTGTGATTCCATTTATATGAAATGGTGAGAAAAGGCAAATTCATAAAGACAGAAAACAAATTAGTAGTTGCCATGAGCTGGGAAGAAGGGGAAATGGGAAGTGACTGCTAATGACTATAGATATTTTTTTGGGGGGGGTGATAAAAATGCTCTAAAATTTATTGTAGTGATGGTAACGACTTCAGGTATATACCAAAGGCCATTAAATTTTACACTTTAACTAAACTGTATATCAAAAAATCTGTTATAAAAAGAGTCAATATTAAAGAATGTACTAAAACTAGAATGTGTGCATATAAAGCATAGCAATTTTAGAGCTCACTCTACCTTTATACTCATCACTACATTCCACAGTGCTTAAAAGACAGCTCACACTGTGAGCTAATCAAGGCAAAGGGAAAATCTGATTGAATCATAATATATCATCTTTATAACTGCCAAGAATAAATCAAGCAATGTCTTTGATACTTTTTTAAAATTTTCTTAATTATTTTTAAAGATAATGTGATAAATTTGCATATAAATATGATTGTTGGAAACTACAAACAATACAGAATGAAAATGAGAATTCCTCTCCCATCCACTCCCACTCCTGTCCCCAGAAATAACCACTGGAAATACTTCACCGTATAGCTTTTTCCAGACTTCTGCTGTATATTTAATTTTCTTTCATATTCGTGGGATAAAACTCTACATTCTGTTCTACAAGTTGATTTTTTTTCATTAACAATTACATTGGAGATCTTTCTAAGATGTTTTTATTACTAAAAAGTACTTTTTTCCATCAATAGCATTAAAGTTTAATTTACATATTTTTTTGCAAGCTTGAAAAAAGTCTTCCTTACCCATCTATATTTTCTTCTAGAACTTTCATAAGTTTGTTCCCAGGAAATTCTTCCAGTTTTTAACACCATAAAGTATTGTTGTTGTTTTTCTTCATAAAATAACAACTTCCTACTGGGACACGTGCCCAAAATCGAATAAGACCATTTTTATTAGACAACTAGATATATGGCAGCCCTCTTAAAAATGTTAACTTCAGCCGAAACCGGTTTGGCTCAGTGGTAGAGCATCGGTCTGTGGACTGAAAGGTCCCAGGTTCGATTCCAGTCAAGGGCATATACCTGAGTTGCGGGCACATCCCCGGTGGGGGGTGTGCAAGAGGCAGCTGGTCGATGTTTCTCTCTCATCAATGTTTCTAGCTCTCTATATCTCTCCCTTCCTCTCTGTAAAAAAATCAATAAAATATATATTTTTTAAAATATGAACTTCAGAACAGAAAAATACCATCCTCATCCCAAATCATACTCCCTCTCTCAACAGCTAGTTCCAAGACAATATCACTATATCTTCTTTTAAAGCCTTTCACTAAGGTTTCTCAGCTTAAAATGATCCCAACCAGTCATTCTTTCAATAACAAGGGTAAAAATAAGCAGTTTACCAAAATAAGAGACAAGCTTACAAAACAGACCTGTAATTGGCCTTGTTCATCGGCATATTCAATGGACTGGAAGATGGTGAGAGCATAGCGTTGTCTGGTCTTCAACCGAGCTCTGTAACCTCGGTACCAATTTTGGATGATCAACGCAGCTCTTATTGCTGCAGACACACAGAACACAAAGTCAGAGGAAAACAGTTACTATGCAGCTATGATGAGGGTAAGAAGGTGCTTCAGGGGAAAAAATAGTTCACCACGATTCCTCAGTTCTACACACATAAAAACTACAATCAATGAGATTTACCCTCATGTTTTTGTAAAATGTCCTGTCTCAAATATTCATAGAATAATAATGGCATGCATATTGAGTTAAAATTTTGGAGCAAGACTACCTGAATTTTAATCCCAGCTCTGCTAATTACTGTTTATGTGACTTTGGGTAAGTTATTAAAACTCTTAAAGCCTCAGTTCCCTTACCTGTAAAATGGGAATAATAGCAATTACCTGTGGCAATATTTGAGCATATAAAATCTATATATGCTCTATGAAGTAGCAATTCCATTCTCCACTATATAACCCAAAGCAACTGTCACATAGTCCACTAAGGATACATGTGGCTTTACAATGCTTCTTTGTGGCAATAGGAAGTTTGACACCCACACAGCCCGGCTGTCTATTGCTAGGACAGAGAATATGAAACTGTGGTGGATGCACCTATAGAATCTATGGCAGAAGTGGAAGCAATAGATTCAATAAATCCATAGTAACATGAATAGGTCTTAAAAAATTATGCTTCAGTTAGAACAGTTATTAAAAACTTAAAGACAGAATGAAATATAACATGATACCACTTTATATAAATTTAAAATACACACACACAAAACCACAATATACATTTCATAAGAGTAAATACAAAGGAAAAGATACACACTAAACATAATAATTGGTTATTTATGGGGAGGGTGACCATCAGGTACATGGGTAAAAGGGAATAAGCAAATTAATTAACATAAAAAAGAGTCTTGCAGAAACCAATGATAACAATGCACAATGAATTAAGAAGTATGATTCACTCCACCTTCTATCTACACTGATATTCAATTGGCAAGCGATGGATGAAAATGAACACACCTCCCTCTGCATAGAGTTACTGTAAGGACAAAATGAGATACTACAGGTAAAGAGTTTAGCTAAATGACTAATGTAAAGCACATGCTAAATACATGTCAACTATAGTGGTAAGTATTCTCTTGTTTGTAGGACTATTCAGACACACTGACTCTCTCCTGGTAGCCTTTGAACTATCCAGGACCTTTATAAAAAGAGATCAGGTGAAAGATGAGATTAAAACATACTCTCTTGTGCCCTCCTCAAGTTTTAGAGTTAAGAGGAATCAACATCAGCTGGCTCCTTTTATTCCTGCTGTAATTTTTCCCAGTTGGCACATAAAAATCAAGAGTTGACTAAAACGAGAACATTTGAGTTTTGAAAGCAGAAATCCAGCCTCCAGTCGCAGTACGTTTAGTTTAGTACTGCTATGGTACACCGAGTAGACACTAATCATCTGAGGGTGTTTATTTATGAGCTCCCTCAAGGCTCTTGGGTTTCAGAGATTCTCATTTCATTACTCAGCTTTCAGAAAACCCCAGGAAATAGACATAAGGTCAAATATAAAAATCTTTATAGGGAAAAACCACAGGGAGAAGAAATCGAGTAGCTTGTTCAATGTTGCAAATAGTTGGTAGTACCATGGCTGCAATCTCATGTTCTTACCACATCCTTCTGGACAGTAACCTGAAAGGTGTGTTCTGTGGAACAGTGATTGTAATGACCAACCAATCCTCACCTCGGTGGTTTTCTGTTCACCAAGCACAATGTTCTGGTGCTACTTGCTGAGGGTCAGGCAATAGATTTATTCATTCCTGCAATCCTTGCCACACTGTGAAGCTGAGAGAGACTAACTTACTTAAGGTCATTTAGCCAATAAATGGAAATGGACAGCAGGAATTGAATCAACATCTCACTGACCCCATAGCCCAAGCTCTTAACCTGAATAAATCTATTGACCTTTTTCTGTATCTCAGTTTCTTCATCTGCACAATTATGAAGTGAAACAAATGACCTCTTTCTATTTACTATTAAAAACATCAACCTATATATATAAAAGCCTAAGCAACCGTTAGGACCTAACAACCAGAACTACCAGGATGACTGTCAGAAAACACAGATATTTACATTACGATTCATTAACTGTAGCAAAATTACAGTTATGAAGTGGCAATGAAAATAATTTTATGGTTGAGGGTCACCACAACATGAGTAACTGTATTAAAGGGTCACGGCATTAGAAAACTTGAGAACCACTGCACTAAAATGCAACCTCCATAAAGGCTGGATTTTGGTCTACTGGATTAGTTGCTGTATCCCTGCTGGGAACAGTCCCTGGAACATAGTAGATACCCAATAAATATTTGTTAAATGAATGAAACTACTGTTTAATTAAGACTTTCTGTCTTGTGTTCCTCCTCATGCAGAGTGGTAGTCTTATGTTTGGTTTGGTTTGGTTTGTTTTTGAAATAAGAGTTTATTTGACAGATCATTCTTTAAGCAAGAAGCCTTATATTCAGAATAAGCCATTTAAAGACTCTGCTTTTTGAAATTCTGCTGGTAGATGCCTCCAGGATGAGGGAATATGTAGTGTGACTTTAAAAGGTCTGACATCCAGTCAGGAAGAGAGAGAGGCACAAGTGTGATAAAACTGATTAAAATGGAGTCAAACGAACTGAAAAGAGAATGAACCATCTAGTGGCAAAAAGACTTTAAATAAGGAGGACAAGCATCTATTTCCTCAGCTATTCGAAGCTTGCTGAAAATAGGGTATGACTCAACTCTGGGACCACAGTTTTCATTGTTTTTGTGTACAGATGTTCTACATCTGCCAGCTGCTAGAGTGTGGGGCTGTCACAGTGAGAAAAGCATAAAGTGTGAGATGGTCACACAACCTGATTCTTGGACAGCAAACAAGGCAAGGACCTCTAGGAGACTCACTCATCCATAAATTGTGACATCCCTGCAGCCTCCTTGTCCCTGGAAAGCATTTTTTCTTAAACAAGAGGTATATGAGAGTAAAGCATGAGGCCCAGTGTCCAAACAATGGCGAACATTTTAAACAAAACTATACACTTTCCCCTAATGACAAAAGAAATCAGAGTTTTATCATTCTTGAAAACCTCTGGCCTTTTAGTCAGAGAAGGACAAGAATTAGAAGTAATGTCTGTGACCTTTTTATTTGCTCATATACTAGCCCACCCACCAACTCATCCATGTGGGGTAATAAAAATAATTTCTGGCCGGGACCGGTTTGGCTCAATGGATAGAGCATCGGCTTGGGGACTGAAGGGTCCCGGGTTCGATCCCAGTCAAGGGCATGTACCTTGGTTGCGGGCATGTCCCCAGTAGGGGGTGTGCAGGAGGCGGCTGATCCATGACTCTCTCTCATCGATGTTTCTAACTCTCTATCTCTCTCCCTTCCTCTCTGTATAAAAATCAATAAAATATATTAAAAAAAAAAAAAAAAAAAGATGATGCCAAGATGTGGCATACAGAGACTGCAAAGAATAAGAAAGTTGGTGGACAGCAAAAACAAGGAAGCTCTAACAAACAGTACCTCCAAAGGACATAAACCTAGGTTGCAGCCACTACAGGATTAGGATTTTTTTTTTTGAAACATTTTCAAACATATTGGAAAATGGTAAGAATAGTAAAATTGTTAATATTTTGTCACATATGCATTCTCTTGCATGCTCTTTCCACACACACACACATATCATCCATCATTTCTTCAGTCTTCTTTATTCTAGAACAAGTTCTTAGCTTTCCTTTCCTTTAATGGTACTGATATTTTCTTTCTCTTTATAATTAGTAAATAATTTGCAGGAACACACTTTGGGATTGTGTATATATTCTATTCTCCACAACATCCATTGATGATTTTTGCCTAAATCAATTATTTCTATGGTGGTTGCAAAATAGCACATTTTAACTCATTTGTTCTACATTTTCTAGGATTAGGATTTTTAAATGCCCCGTTTTAGGTCCTTTTTTATTCAATATGGCAATGGAAGAACACTTGGATTGCATAAAGCCATCTAATGCAAGTTTCCATGAGAATTGTAATCTTTGGCTGAGTCACAGTTCAGGAAAATATAAAGTTTTATCTATACAATATCAAAATAATAGGCTACATCAGTAAAATCAGGTGAACAACAGTTTATAAGCAACTGTGACACCTCTTTTATATTAATCTCTAATTTTCTAAAAGAATCATTATTGTGAAAATATCAACTTTTAAAAACTATCATATCCTTAAATACATAAGAAATTTAGCTATCTACAAGTATAACTCTCAACTTAAATTATTAAAATATTTTCTTAGAGGAAATATTCTATTTAACAATTCAATAACGACCTTTAATTCTCACCTGGTGGGGAAAAACTTAAATGGCTTGACTGCAATTATGTTTTGTGTCTCCTTTGTTATCAATTACTTATCTGGCTTATAGTGCCAAATTCATTCACCCAAGGTTAAATACAATTAGCGCTAAAGTTTTGTCTTTCACAGCTGCTAAAAAGACAATGCAATACAAAGCCATAATCGTATAGGAAAGGTATTCTGATTACGGGAAATCACTGGCAATCAGAGCTGAGGTATTGAACTTTCTTACACTGAGTTTAAATGTGTCTCTGTTACAGGATTTCCTAACAAATCACAGGCTCTAACTATAAAGCTGGTTTCTTTGTGAATTGTCTAGTCATTGCTGAAGCTGGTAAATAGCATTTTAATGGGGCGGTGTGACTTCATATTCTTTCAGCAATACTTTCTACTTTCTAAAGGCTCATGATTCTAGAGTGGATATCCGAATAGTCCTTGTCAGGATCTCTATACTGAAAATGTCTAAAGCAGAGGCAGGTTAATCACACAGCAAATAACAATTCAGAAAAACAAGAGGATGCATTTAATTGGTGTGAAGAATAAAAAGACTGCTTAGTGTTTTTGTTTGTATGCAGCAATAAACATATTTGTAGTACCAATCCTATATAAATCTCAAGGCTCATATAGTATCATATCAAAAAGTGAATAATTAAGTAAAAATTTTTATTG